GTAAGGCTCAATGAAAACATTTAATCTGTAATTAGGGAATGAATTAGAGAATGAATAGGAATTTTAAGAAAACATGAACTGTATAGTGTCTCGATTGAATGCTAATTAAAATACATACCTGACTGGGAATGAATCATTGTATTCAAATTTAAGTACATCCTAAATAAAAATAAAAAATTCAGTAATGACATTTGGCCTGTCATCAATTACAAATTATATATTCTCTCAATTATTATGAATTAACTTTACAATGTAGATTGTTACGATTAAGTCTTTCTGCTAGATCCTATACACATTGTATCTTTGATAAGGTATTTGAGTGAATTCATTTTGACAACAAGAAAACAAACTCTAGTTGATATTTTTGCTGAATAATATATTGGTACTGATAAGAAAGGTTCCCTACTTCATTTATTTCTGGTGGCTTTAAGGGTTACCTAGTATAATGATTTACTACTATGTGAGTATTATGTGCATTAATTCTGTGGCTTCTAAAAAGAGAGCTTTGGAATTCTAAAGAACTGGATGAGGGAGAAAAGAGAAACTCCTTAAACCTTTAACCCCAAAGAGTGACTAGCATCTAATTTCTCCTTACAAATATCGCCACTAAATCACACATTAATGTTTTGAGAATAAAGGAAATGATCACCAACTAAAGAGACTCTTGATTGTTAGACAAATTCTCCTTTTCAGCACCTTAGTAAATTTACAGAGAACAGTATGGAGAATATAAATACTGATGTTTGGGTGTTCGGAGTTAAAGAAGGATTAGGGGTATTTCTTTTTACACAGTTCATTTGAGGGACAAAGCAACAACAACTTAGGGTGCCAAAAGAAGAATTAGCAAATTAACAGCTATTCATAATTTCAAAGTCTTCCATCAGTTATTAATTATCAATCTTTGATAATTGCATAGTCTGTTACTCATTAAAAAACAAAACTTTGATGAAAATCAAGATACCTTTGGGTAGCCAATGGAGGCTAACCTTTCACAAATTAAATCAAAGGCTTTCTTTTCATAGACAGGGGATTTATACACTGCAAGAAATTTTAATCAAGAGTTAATCTGCATGTTTTATAATGACTACCAGTTGTATTGTACTCATAGTCATTTCATGCCCATTCATTTTGTACACAGCTTGGCTGTTTTGTACCAAAACTAATAAAGTAAGTTTTCCATAAAAGTATGTTTAAAGTAAGGCCTATTTCTTATTGTGAATAGCAATATTACCAGCCTTAAATAAATTTTGTTAACATGGAGTCCATTTTGAAGTACAAGCACCAAGTGAAAGTGAAACCTTTGCTAAAATTAACATTAACATTAGAATTACTGTTGATAACAATGAGAGAAAAAATATAACACTTACAGGAACTTTGATAGTTCAAAAGTCACAAGTATAAAAAAGAGGCTTTTCTTTTAAAAGTATCATGTTTTCCTTGTGCCAGGCAATCACTAAGTTGTTCCAATCACTAAGTTGTTCTTGCTTTCTTATTGTATGAATTGATCAGCAGTATGGGTACAAATCAATGAGAGCTTTGGGTACGAACCAACTCAAACATGGATATGAACTGACTACATTTGGGTTTGAAACAACTAGGTACAAAATGATTGTGGGAATGAAACAACTGGATGCCAATAGATTGGGTGTACCCACTTCAAAAGACATAAGCAAGTAGTAAATCATAGTCCTCCAAAAAATTGTTCCAATTTTACCTTATAGCATGTAACAAACTGATCAAGTCATACCTGCTAGAGTATAGTCCATATCAAAGCCAAAGAATTTGATCTTGTCTAAACTAAGACTTCTATTCACAAAAACTCTGAAACAAAAGGTTAGATTTTTGGGATAAGAAAATTGAGTAAATAGGGATATAACAATGGGAATGTTTGCAGTAAAAAGTTTTTACCATATTGCATGCTGTTGTAAAAGCATAAACAGAAAGTGACTAAAATATAATGGAATCAAGAAAATTACATTTTCCTTAAACTGACCAAGATAGGGTCTATAATTGGCCACAGAATAAACAATATTGGGATAGAGGTTCTGACAGGACAAATATTGACCTAATTCCCCCCTCCACCCCCAACCACTGGTACTACTCTACCCTGGACAAATTGTATAATCCCAAACAATTCATAGTTACATTAATTCCAGAATAAAACCAGAAAATGGAGCTACCTGTTTGCAGTATCTCTCTTGAATGCCTTTGAGCCATCAGGAGTGTCAATTCCCACAGAGTTTTGGTCAAATGGGTGAGAGGGGTAAGGCATATTCAATTCTACGGCTTCCTTAGGAGCACTCTTGACCCTGCCTTCCTATATTGGGATAAAATCATCAGCCACAAAACAAATTATGTTGGAAGTAAATCAAGACGACATATTCATTGTTATTTCATTCTTCACCTTCTATATGCTCCCTGACTTTTTCTACCAATATTATTACTCTAATGGTCTGTGGATTTCATTCATAATCATTTGACTTTCTTAGGGATATTTGCAGTTAAGATCTGAGAGTTTACTCTATTTTTACACCTAATTTAAAGCAAGTAAACATATAGGAACAACATCTACAGATGTGATAACCAAGATATGGAATAACACGGGAAAAGAACTCTGATCATATACACTGAGTAAACAAAACTTATGCACCTCACTCAAATAATTCATTAATATCAAATTTACACAGTGCCACATAAAAAAGATAGAGTCACAAAACTTTTTCAGCCAGTGTTGTTGATGGATGCCTCATGAACATTTTTCAGCAAATTATCCTTGTATCACAAAAAGTGATGTTGGTATGTCTTGTGCTAACTGTACTGCATATTTTGATGTCAAGTTTATCTTTGTTTTCTTTATGACCCCAAGATGGATGTATCAGGGTAGAAATATCATGGTCAAAACAACATTCCCCTTGATTAATATTCCACTAAAGAGCAAGAATCGTTTAACATGATAGTTACAGATATATATTAGATAACATTTCATTCTAGTTTGCAAATATTGATAAAGTAACTGTGTCAAGATGTAATAAAAAGGTTAATGAAAGCAACAAGCCTATCAATTCATTTACAAAAGATTTTTGGAGGTACTCAGTATCCACAGATGACTGATTTTTGTCATCCACATGAATTTTTTTAAAGTGAATCAGTTGTTTTGATTATATTGAAGGTCCTTCAAGGTTCACTGTGCAGCATGTTGGGATTTCAGTGTAGAGAAGTACCGAATGATATAATGTACTTCCAAGAGTACTTCTTCTGCAAACTTGTCTGCACAATAGATAACATTAATACAAAATTGATCACTGAAGATTATACATTGAGAAAATGTTATACCCTTCATTGGAATTGAATATTAGAATGGTATACAAGCGAAACGCTACAAATTGTAAAGAAGCACTGTAGAAAAATCAGACTGGTAAAAATTGACAATCACCCTTAAATAAAACATATAAATATCCTCCTTTTACCGGAAATTTTCTTGTTTATTTCACATGTTGTATCTTCACACTTTAGCTTGAAGTTTCGAAATGACCATGGTTCACTGGATGACAATAAAGTTATGCAATTCGTCCCACGGTTTACAACTAGTCCATTACACAACGATTCCCTCTACACCTAAATATTTAACTAGAAACTCTTTACAGGAGGTGTACGAGTTAACTTGCGCGATTTTCGTCTCGAAATAATCGCCACAACCTCGAAAAGGGTTCTTATTCAAATGACCAGTATAAAGATTTAACCCAATTAAAAAAAAAATTTATATATATATATATTGCCTTCAGTGATATGCATCTTTCGAAAAATTACTGAGCTACTTGTAAGACCCAATATATGACTGCTAAAATTGGAAAATTGTTCTTATAAATGTAAGTAAAAGCCAATAATTTCATTCAGCTGGTAAGCGATTTCTTTAGCTTTGTCACGTCATCGCTGAGAGATGTACCAGGCGAGGAAAAAGTCTTACCTTTGGTACCTTCAAATATTCAACATCGTTTGAATTCAGTTTATTCTCTGTATCCATTGCACCAAGGCCAAACGTTTCACAGGCTTCGTTTTTTAAATACTCGAAATTTGGACGATTAAATTTTGAAACCCTCAGAGAACAAAGAGAGTCTTTAAATAAACCCGTTGGCTCACCGAGAAATATCCAACAGATAACCAAAACAAGAATGTGATTGGTCAAAACTAACAATGGCAATGTGTTGTTTCGTGTAGTTTCGACCTCACGCAACTTCCAGTTCACTCATGTGACTCGCGTTACATTACACTGAAATATGTCGAAAATTTCGCTTATTTCCCACAATTTCCAACAACGTTTCCTCATGTCCAAACGGAAAATATAGGGTAACAATCTAAACAATCATCTTGTCGATTTGAATCTCTTTTGATTCAATGACGAGAGCTAATGATATGTGCATCGTAAGCACGCGCTGAAAGACACTAGCTTCATTAGAGAGCATGATTCATTTTTACTTTGATGAATATGAGACATGCCTAAACATTCGACCTACAAACCTTCACTGTTGTTCATCAAATGAAAATTTACCTTTGATCTTTTCTAAAAGATTGAAATCAGCTCGCACAAGCACAAAACCCCAGCTCTCAGAATCCCTTCTAACTGAACTACAGACTATCTGCAGCGCTTGACAGTGAATTAAGCTAAATGTGATTTGATTGGTCGAAAAATTTTTTCCAGAATGTGACCTATCACAGAGAGCTCTTTTACGTAAGAGACCTAGGGGCAAGGTCAGACAAGAAACTAGTCGACTTGAGCAAATCTTTTAATAATTATTTCACGGAAAACGTGTCCCAGGGAAAGTGCTCCTCTATCGACGACGGATCATGACGCTTTCCCTGGTCGTATCTTACTTTTCTTTCGAATGGTGTGTAATTTTGTGAAGCTGGATCACACTGTGATAGGTTAGTTGTTCTGCGTGACATCTTTTTCCTCGTATATTTTTTTTGTCTTGCTTTTTTGAGTCTTTTAATTTAGGTCTTCAAATCTCAGCACAATGAACACTTGTTTCCAGAGCTAAGCTATTTTCTTAGTCGACGTGGCCTGGGCACCAAATCCAATTCAAATGAAACTTAGGTACATGGCGGAAGTTTTCCTGTAGCAAAGCACTTTCTGCTTCTCATTGACACAAGAAATAAGGTCAGTTGTTGGCTCGTGCTGTCTTGTATTTGTTAGATTATTTATGTAACCGAAGCGTACTTCTAAATTTAGTATTTCAGTGGACAGATTTAACTGATAAAAAAAACATTGGTGGTGTTTTTCGGTTGTTTATCGTTAGTGTGCAATATCATTTTCGACTAAACTGCGATGCATGGTCTCGGTAACGAGAGTATGTGTTTACATGATTGTGTTAACAGTGATATAATTTTAGTCGTAGCATTTTTCGCTGCGCAGAGTGAAGTGAATACGAACATTCTGCAAAAGTAGTTTGCAGGATCCGAGACTGAAGAAGTTTCTTTTCTGTGGATTACAAAATTAATCAGGGAACGTGAGAGTGGCAGGGCCAGGCTTCTGAAAAGTTCACCATAATATTTCCTGTTTTTCAACTTTATGTGAAGCTTATTTTTCGTCCAAACTCTCAGAGAGCAGACTTAAAATTTTCAGTTATCTTGGCTTAAATAAGAGTTTTCTGTTCCTCAAAGGGTTTTTTAAAAGTCCCAAATAGAGGTCAGTTGAAATATTTTTATCTGTAGAGGAGGAAAATGAAGAAGATTCTATCTCTATGTGTCTTTTTGTGTAGGAATGGTTGTTGTTTAGTTCAAATTTTTGTCTTTTTCCAGCCATGTATACCTTAATGCTCACTCTGGTCAAAAAAAAGATGTTAAATGAACAGGGGTGAATGTAGTTTACTGCTTGAACTGATTCAGAGCCAAACACTTGTTGCATGTTGATACTTGCAGATTTTTAAGCAATGCCATATCATCTTGATAGGACTTAAAACTCAATGTTCAAAGCTTTTCAAGCTTTCGTTTAATGAATGAACACATAGAGGTAAATACAGGGAAACACATTCAGAAAAACAGTAATGTACAGCTACAATTATTTAAACCCATGAAATTTTGATCATATACGTGATAAAATTACACCATATAAAATTATATAACCATACTTTTGATCTGTCAAGAGTGATAAAGATTTAAACAAAATAATAATTGATCTAGAGAAATAGTGATAGTTTAATTGATTATCTCTTTACTGTTAGACAGTGATGTATTGGTAATTTTTATCAAAAATTAAATTTTGCCATTTCTAAGTGAATTTGATGGGGTGTATTGCTGAGCACTAACCCTGTTGTAGATAAAATCTGTTTATTTGGCTACCCTGTTTAAGGTACATGTATAATTGAGGATACTGCAAAATTTTTTATTTCCAAAGAAATTTTATAACTTAACACTGTCCTTGTTAGAAGTATTCTAGCAATTGGTCATAGGATGAGATATTCTTTGAAAATATTTGGATAATATTCATTTGTTATCTAAAAGAGTAAACATTGTCATAAAAAAATGCTGAGATATTTGAATTGTGCAATACTTACGAAGAATAAATGACTAGCTCAGTGAACTAGGACCAAAAAGGACACACACTTTAACTATTAAATGCTCCTCCAAATGCTATTAATTATTTTCCACAAACTTTGACTATAAATCTTTCCTGTTACATGTTTTGAAAGATGACAAAGTTTGGGAAATTTGAACAATAATGATATTAATCAAAACTAAAAAAAAAATTCTTGAAGGTGATTGGTTATCACCAGCCCAATTTGAGCACTAATAGGACAGTGTAAACATCAGGCTTGTCATTGAACACTGCAATAGAACAGTTGACGTCATGCCTGTGTTAGACAATAGTATGTGTCGTGTGTGCCGTCTTTGGTTGCACATTTCACTGAGTTAACGGTTGTTTTTTTGTGAGTTCTTTCTCAAATTTTGTCATAGTTTTGATTAATTGGTATCAGGACTTCATGTCGTCTAATTCTGTTTGTAATCATACTTGTGACCATCAATTGGACTCCTGCTTTGCAGTTGTCCATTTTGTTAATCACTCTTATAATTATAGACCAAATTGGATTCCAATGAGTCTGATTACCATTATGAATAAGGTTACAGGACTCACTGGAAGTTAACATGTTAATGATCACTTTTTTGTTTGGTTTCATTTGGGACTAACTCTCTATTTTTACTTAAGATATTTACAAGAAATGAACTCATATTGTTAGACACACTTACCTATATTAAGTGTTTCTAAAACATTTACTCAATACTCAAGACTGACTGAGAGATGTACATCTAAGTTTTTTACAGAGGAGAGATGAAATTTATCTGGTCCTAACATTCTGATGCTAAATGAGTCTGGGTAATTATTTGATGGATGATGGATGATGGATGATGTCTTGTACGCTTACATTATATTCCTTAATAAATAATATCTGTCTTAACTTCCATTGCTTTAAATAACATTTTTACAGTCATGTTAATCCTTCTTTAATCATATTTAGAGGTATCTAACGAAAGGATACTTCACAATTAATTTTGGTAAACTTGGTTTACTTTGCTTATGGTGATCTAGAATGAGTTTAGTAAGAGGTGAGAGTAAGAGATTATGTCTCTGCATGCAAATTTATAGAAAGATTGATGTTAACACTTAAATCTATATTATAGCTAACTGAACTTTTGCATTTGTATAAGATCACCACTGCAATTTTGCCAATGGAGGTGCTACATTGTATCTAAAAGTGTTTGTTCTACAGCAAGACATGTCAAATGTGTAGTAATTTTGAAGAGATAATTATGTGATTTTATCTTACAAAGCACCTTGTCTTCTTAATTGTATAGGAAAGATATTCACACCTGAGTGTGATCCATGTGGTTCAGCATATCTCTGTTGTTAATTTTACTGAGAACATGCCCTTGTAAGGGAAATCTTTGGGTCAGACTGTACCCTCTTCACTTGCCATAGGTTATTGATGGGTCTTTCTTTCTAATTTGATGTAGTTTACAATGAATTCTGCTTCCTTGTGGGTCATTAAATCAGGCATTATGAATTATCTTGTGCAGCCAGACATTTATTTATCTTCTCTGAGATCCTCACTGGGCTGTATTTGTTTCAGGAAGGAGAGCAATGGTAAATATGTAAACCATCTTTGATTTAAGAGGTCAACTGAAGATTTGTGTCAGAGAAAGGGATGTCCTTTCCTTCACTTCCTTTAATTGCCATATTTTCATGTATGATATTTGCTTCTTGTGGATTTTGACTCTCAGCTGTTTGGCCAGATTCCATTTCAACTTCTGCCAAACAATCAACTGACTTTGCCAAGACCTCAATGTACTCCTAAAAGTTGCAAGGTATGATACATCATCAGAAAGTTTGTATATCATTTGAAGTTAAAATTACAATACAGTATAGTTTTTATGATTTCAATATTACTTTTTCCATGGTATTTTCTTAATTAAGCTTTTCCTTTGTTTAAGTGCTTTCTAACCAAGCATCACATATGAGAACAAAAACATTACCAAGTGCCACATCTAGGATTGAGGAGCTTGGTTGGGAAATGTAACCAAAACACTGTTGAGAAATAGTTTTGTCTGAAAAGGCCTTGGAAATGTTTTCCCTTGAAACAATATTTTCCAGTTTGAAATAGTTGCACTCTTAAACTAAGATCATTGAAGTTTTTAAGAATGTAGATCAAGTTAGTGTGAGGGGAGATCCTATATTTTTCACATTCACACCTGGATTAGACAGTGAATGATGTCTTGAGCTTGTCTTCACCTTACACATAACACTCTTCCTCAGTGTCATCATCGCTAAGGTCAATGTGATTGTCACCAAAATTATTGTGATTTGAGATGGATGGATGTTTGACTAAGATTATCATAGTTTCCCATTTTATTACCCTTTGTTTTGTAATCAATATAATTATTCTCTACATATCCATTCACATAAAAAAAAGATTAAAACCAAGGTTAAAGTTAAACTAAAACACATTCATATTAAATACCTGAGATGATTCAGATGAGAGAAGTTCATCAAGCTGTTCAGTGAGCTCAAAAAATTCAGGACGGCTTTTAGCATTTTCACTCCAACATTTTACCATTATTTTATAACTAAAGGAGAAGATAAAAGCTCATTATAAACAAGATTTCATAGAATATCATCAGTATAAGACAATAATGAAATCAAGACATCACAGTTATCAAAAGCCAAGTTACAAGATCTCTGTCTTGTGACAAAATGGATACCTCTCTAGGGTAGACACCCAAGGCAGGACCCACAGCCAAAACTATGAATGGCTTAATTAATTGCTCACTTTTTAGAAAAAGTGAATTTCAAATACAAAAGGGAGGTTGTTTGGATTATTCCAAAGTGCTCCATAGATTCTGTAACAAGCTGTGCGAACTGTATCACTTGATCATGTGACATAATTAGTGCTTAGTTTAATAGTTCTATAAGAATGATTCCTGAGTTTTAAATCTCGGAATAGGTATGTATCAAACTCACATATTATCAGGACAGTTAATTGGACATTCCATTCGGTATCCATTTTTAAGTATTGTAAACAGCCTTTCAACAGGAATTCCAGGATAAGGTGTCCCACCTAGACAAAGTAGAGTTAAGAGTTAAGATTCAAAACAGGGTTAAGATTAAAAGCAAATTCTCATATATTGTGGTTAAAAAAAATACTGAAATACTGGCCAAAGTTCAGAGAGGTTTTGGATAATGTTCTTATGTATTTTATACCTACCAAGGGTGAATATCTCCCACAAAATGATCCCAAATGACCAACTGAAGAAAAAAAATAGTCACAAAAATAAATCAGAGTGCACAGTTGTAGGACTAGGCCCTCTGCTACCATCAATAAAATGGGTACATTTGTATGTTAAATTTAATTGGTGAATTGAAAAAAATAGGTAAATTGAAAAAAAATTGTCACAAAAATAAATCAGAGTGCACAGTTGTAGGACTAGGCCCTCTGCTACCATCAATAAAAAGGGTACATTTATATGTTAAATTCAATAGGTGAACTGAAACAAAATGAAAAAAAAAACAAATGAATGTCATACGAATGACAAGAGGACAAAATTAAATAATTTATCCCAAAAAAAAAATAGATATATATTCCATGAACCAAGTATCTTACACAT